TTCCCACTGATAATACTCAAAATAAGCACACGATACTGTAAATCACTTGAAGCAAAGAATGTTCAAATATTTAGTCTTGAACTGAGTGACAAAGTGAAAATATGTCATCATTCCAAAGAAAAGGGGAGGGGAATCGTTTTAACACACCATTAATTGAAGTATTTAAGTTGTTTTTAGGGAAAGACAGCAAAGCCCATACAAAACTTAGAAAAAGAAGAAAATTCAGATTCAGCCACTGGTACCTCTCTAAAGGCAGACCTGGTGCCGCTATGCCCTGCCACCTGGAAAGCTTACCTCCTACTCTGCCAGACACCTTCGAGTTGAGAATATAACACTCATTCCAATCACTCTGCATTTAGAATCTCGTTGCCCCTGACAGCCCACATCTGGAACATTCCTCATGCCTACATGGCAACACAGGGGCCATAGAAGGAGGGGATGAAAGCATCCCCTGTGAGAGACACTGGTGAAAAGAACCCCTCTGCTCCAACCGCCCCCCGCCCCCCAAAAGCACTGATCATCCTGGTACCTACATCCAAGGAACAAGCGGGGAAATAACTGACGATTGCAGAGAATCTAGTCAAGCTATTGCTGCACCGAGCAGAGGAGGCAGCACGGAACAAACCTAGCTGTCATGGCACGTGCTTCACTCCTAAACGTCTTCCCTCAGAGGGGCCTTCCCTACAGACAGGACTGGTTTTCCAGGTCTCTCCCTCTCTCTTATCCAAGTTGCTCAAGCTAGTTTTGGTCTCTCCCAACAGGATCCAGTAAGAAAATAGAAAGCTTTTGTGGCAGCAAAGGAGATAAGGAATACACAGAAGCAGGGGGTTAGGGGACTCTCTCCTGGTATTGATTTAGATAAGAAGTTTCCAGAATGCTGTGAGCAGCGGAGCCACCAGCAGAGCCATGGTGCCCGTTATGCTCGTCCCACCGCTTCTGTTACACAGGTCCTTCTGGCAGCAATTGTACTTTAGATTGCTCCCTACGAATTGTTTTGCGAGGTCTTTGTAGTTGCAGTTCTCAAACTTCCAACACTGGTAGGATGTCCGTGTGTCTGTGGGAGAAACACACACAAGGGTAAGCAAGCAAGTGGGTCAAGTTCCGTACCTGCCTTGGAGCCCGCGATTCTACTCCTGGGACCTGACCTTGGGCCGTAGAGACATGTGGGCAAGAACGGGCATCCCAGTTGGGTTGCAAAGGGGAACAGTTCAGTGATGATACAGCTCTCAGTGGAACTTCCCCATAAATACAAAGTCTTATCAGAGCCAGCAGGATTGTGTGTGGAAGGGAGGCAACAGGCAATCATATTGATGTTTTAAGAGACTTATCAAGATTTTTAAATACACACCCACACCGATCCAGCAATTCCACTTCTAGACTTTACTCTATGACATTACTTGTAAAAAAGGTTAAGTATATGCCCCCCCATGGTCATTGCAGTACTATCTGTAACAGTAATAAACTCTAAAACCAGCCCATTAATAAAAGAAGTGTCTGAAAAAATTACTGTAGAGCTCCACACAATGATATTCATATGGATAGTAATGACATACGCCCATAGGTGTTGATGTGGAAGAGCCTGAGTTTTAAAAATATGCAGGAAAATAGATAAATTGGACTTCATCAAAATTAAGGACGTTTGTGCTTCAAAGAACGCTATCAAGAAATACACAAAATCCTGGCTGGTGTGGTTCAGTGGCTAGAGCATCGGCCTGAGGACTAAAAGGTCCCAGGTTCGATTCCGGTCAAGGGCACATGCCTGGGTTGTGGGCTCGATCCCCAGTGTGGGGCCTGCAGGAGGCATCCGATCTGTGATTCTCTCTCATCATGGATGTTTCTATCTCTCTCTCCCTCTCCCTTCCTCTCTGAAGTCAATAAAAATATTTTTTTTAAAATACACAAAAGAAGGTAAAAGGTATGCAAATCATATATCTGACATAAGAGGCTAGTCAGAATATATAAAACACAACTCAACAATAAAAATACAAATAACCCAATTAAAAAATGGGCAAAGGATGTGGATATTTCTCCAAAGAAGATATACAAAGGACCAATAAACGCATGAAAAGATGCTCAGTATCATTAGTCATCAGGAAATTACAAATCAAAACTACAATGAGAAATTCCGGTCTCGATGGTGGAGTAGATGAATGTTGTGGTTGCCTCTTCCCATGAACACATCAAAATAACCACTAACTTATAGAACAAACACCCTGGAGAACTATCTGAAGACTAGTGGATGGAGCTCCTGTAACTAAGGATATAAAGAAGAAGCCACGTTGAGACTGATAGGAGGACAGAGTCGAGAAACAGGCTGGACTCACACCCACATGCAGCAGTTGAGAATCGGGAGGGATATCTTGGCTGCAAAGGTCCCCCATGAGGGGTGAGGGGTCCCAGCCCCACGCCAGGTCCCCCAGCCTGGAGCACCAGTGCTGGGAAGAGGAGTCTCCACTACATCTGGCTGTAAAAATCAGCGGGGATTCCATCTGGTGAGATGGAGGGCTGCTGGAAACCCAGGCACCTTCTTAAAGGGCCCACACACAGATTCACTCATTCACAAACATTCACCCTAAGCTACAGCAAAGAGCCAGCAGCCCCAAAGGCACCAGGGCACACAGAGGGGAAAACTGAATTGTGTGGCTTCAGGGACAGCTGCCAGTGTTTCTGTGTTGAGCACGCTCGCCACACAGTCTGCAGAGGTGCAGGCAGGTGCCAAATCCTGATAAACTCCACTTGCCCCACCCTGGTGACTCACTGAGACTACACCCCACCCAACTCCTTCCTGGCTGTTTTTCACAGGTGGCTTCAAACCTCTGAGACCCACAGTGAAGTGTAAGTGGCAGAGGCTGGCAGAGTGTTCCAACGGCTCTACGTGCTTGGATCATAGATATTTAAGTGTATGCTTCTAACACTGTACTAGAGGATGCTGTTGAATAGGACAAGTTACTGCTTTATGGAACAGTAGTCAGGCACTGGAACTGGGAAAGCATTAAAGCTAACAGATTTTTAATTAGGGAAGCCTAACAGCTTGGGGAGAACAGAGTAATTTTATTAATAATTGCTACCGATGAACCACTTACTAAGTGTCCTGCAGTGAGCCAAGCACTTAACTTGAATTACCTTATTTGCATAACAACCTTATGAGAGTGCGTCTCTCACCAAAGCCACGACCAGAATCACCCAAATAAAAGTGGATTACATCCAAGTCACTGGGATGTTAGGGGTTTTCTCGCTCTGCTTGGCACACCTTCTCTTTGAAGATTTGGCTTGAGCCTACCTTCACCAAGCAGCAGCGCACAACCGTCCTAGGGTGCCTGTGTTCAGCAGGCCATTACGGCAAGGATCACGTGACACCGTCATCAGACACTTCTGCCAGACTCCAAGTACACGGTTTAAACTTCCAGGACCTGGCCAGGACGCCAGTAAATAGTGCTTCAGTGAACACCCAGTACCTGCCTCTCCTCTAGACAGAATCTGCACAGCACTATGATACCCGTTCTCACCTCTCAGTGCTTCGCTGACCTCAGGAGATAGGCATTCCCATTTTACAGCTGGGGCGTGGGGGTGGCTAAAGTAGTTAAATGCCTTCGCTAATGCAGTGCCTGGCCTCTGACTGGTGTTTATGACAGTGTGCCCTGCCTCTCCCACGCTGATGTCTCCAGAGCTGGAGGGGGATTTAGATGCTCTGTTACTATCTGCCTTACTGTAAGGTCAGAATATATCTATTTTAAGATGTCTAGCTTAAGCAAGGGGACTTAAGTTCATGAGAAGAAAATAATTAAGATTCACATTATCCTTCTTAAAAACTAGATTTATCCTTGAGGAGTTTTAGATTCACAGCAAAACTGAGCAGAAAGGACAGAGTTCCCATACAGCTCCCTGGCACCCCCACCCCAAACCACCTCCCACACAGTGAACATCCTCCACCAAAGTGGTACATTTTTTCCACCTGATGAACCTATAGGGACTCATCATTATCACACAGAGTCCATAATTTACACTTGGGTTCACTCTGGGTTTTGTACATTCTAAGGGGTTTGACAAATGTGTGACATGTATCCACTGTTACAGTATCAAAGAGAGCAGTTTCATTGCCCTAAAATTCTGTGCTCTACTTCATCACCCCTCCCTTTTTTCAGCTAACCCCTGGCAACCACTGACTTTTTACTGTCCCCTTAGTTTTACCTTCTCTAAAATGTCCTATTGTTGGAATGATGCAGGGGGTAGCCTTCTCAGGTTGGCTTCTTTCACATAGTGAAATACATTTCAGGTCCCTTCATGCCTTTTATGGCTTGATCACTCATTTCTTTTTAGTCTACTGTCTGGATGTGCCCGTTTATTTATTCATTCACCTACTGAAGGCCATCTTGGTTGCTCCAAGTTTGGGCACTTATACATAAAACTTACCAAAATCTGTATGCAGGTCAAGGTGGGCATGTATGTTTTCAACTCGTTTGGGGAAATATCAAGGAACACAATGTTTGACTCATATGGTGAGAGTATGTTTAGTTTTTTGAAGAAACTACCGAACTGTCTGCACCACTTTCCATTTTCACCAGCAATACTAGTACATGAGCGTTCCTGTTGCTCCACATCCTCGCCAGCATTTGGTGAAGTCAGTGTTCTGGACTCTGGCCTTTCTAGGAAGTGTGCCTCATTGTTGACATCAAGCATTTTTAAAGCTTAACAAGTCATTCTAAGACGAGTAAGTTCTGAGGATCCTGTGTACAGCATGGTGACTATAGTTAATAATACTGTATTGTATACTTGAAGTTTGTTAAGAGAATAGATCTTAAGTGTTCTCCATCACACAAAAAAGGTAACTATGTGGGATGATGGATGTGTTAATTAGATTGTTTGTGGTCACCATTTCATAATGTTGTATATGTACATCAAATCAGCACCTTGTACACCTTAAATATACCCAATTTTTACTTTAATAAAATTGGAAAAAAATTTTTTAAAAGCCTAATAATTGAGATAAGAAACAATGAATGGGATTTGAGAGCTGGAAAAAATATTTTGGCTCTAGTCCACCTCTACCATCAAACACACACCTTTTATAAAGAACCTATTGGTAGCAGGTTAGGAAAGAACCAGGCCTCTGCTCACATACAACTGGTGCCGAATACTTGTGAAGTGAGTGACTATGTTCTCCCTCTCTCTCTGGAGGCCTTCCTATGCTTTCTACGTTAACAATGAATTGATAGGGTACTCCAGAGGCCAAGGAACTGTGCCTCTAAAGAATCAAGTTCCTTGTATAGAGGGATTGAAACTTGATCTGCATTCCAGGAATTTATATCAAAATTAACAGATACGCCCTAGCTGGCTTGGCTCAGCGGATAGAGCGTCTGCCTCCGGACTCAAAGGTCTCAGGTTCGATTCCGGTCAAGGGCATGTACCTGGGTTGTGGGCACATCCCCAGTAGGGGGCGTGCAAGAGGCAGCTGATTGATGTTTCTCTCTCATCGATGTTTCTAACTCGCTATCCCTCTCCCTCTCCCTTCCTCTCTGTAAAAAAATAAAATAAAAAATAAAAAAATAACAGATACGCCTGTTTTTCAGACAGGGTAATTCTAATGTGTTCTTACTTATTGAAGGATATCTCCTTTCTGGGGAAACTGATCTTCCTCCCTTTCTATGGGGTGTTTCTGAACCTGCGGGTCTCCCAAGGCTTCCATGAGTTTACCGGAGCTGTTCAACATTCCATGATGTTCCCACCGTGAACACTTTGTGGCAGAGGGTAAAAGAGAGATATAACCTTGAAGGACGTTTTTATTTTTATCTCTTAGAGATGTGAGTCTGGGGGATTTTTCCTTGCACGTTACCTAAGGAGACCCAGAAATAGCCATTCCTCGCCAGTATCATTTCCACACATAGATTCAACCCAGAACCACATCCACCAAGAACAGAAGAGGGCACGGCTTTGCTGTTTCTTTCCTCTGTCCACCACTTCCTAGATCCTGTTCGAATAGGATTATGGAGATAGAGCTTCTAGAGCCTGACCAATATGGAAAATGCAGTCCTAGCAGTCCCCAACCCCGTTTCCCTGAGTGTCCTGCTCTCTGAGGCCACAAACCTTGGGTGGCACCTGCCTGTGTCACACTCAGGAACACTTTTCCCCTTTCACATTTCTGACAGCCAATAAACAGGCCTCTGCCATAATTTTATCTCCTTTCCTCATCTTTGCATCCCTAGCCACTTGCTCAGACTCTGACACCCGGGAGGCTCTTAAAAGACGGGAAGGCAGCCAGCATTGCTGTTAAGAGAATAAGCATTAGAATAGACGGATTCCCACATTCAAATCCTGGGTTGGTTACTTGTCCTTAGTCTGTTTCTTAATCTGAGCCTCTGTTTCCTCATTTAAGAACTGAGAATACAAAACATTACCCTGTGTGGTAGGTGAGAAGCATTCAATTAAAAACATATAAAATATGCTTAGTGCTACATATAGCTGATGCTATTAAATGGTACCTATTACTTGTTGAATACAAGTCTAATGAGGATAGAGTAGCCCAATATTTTTTCCAGGTTTCCATCATCCCATTACCCTTAGGAAAGAGAGAAGGAGGAGGCTCTTACCGACTTTGACCCAGAGACATGTATCATCATTAGCGGTACAGTTGGTGGTGACAGTGCACGCACCAACCCAGTTGGGACAGTTGTAGCAGCGCAGGCTATGACCTAAAATCAGGAAGAAGAGCCGTCAGAATCTGGTAGACCAGCACTCACTTGCCCTCCTGGCTGCAGAAGGAAGCCCACCATCTCCATGACCACGGGGCAGAGGCCAGCATGCTTCCTTTCCCACACACACTTGCAGCAGGTAGATTTCTCCAAGCTCAGACTGTTAAGAGTAGGCAGAGAGAAAGATATAAGCTGGAAGAGGCTGGGAGAGGCAGCTGACCTCTGGGCGGACCTCTAAGCTGGGACATAGAGGAAATAAGAGAGAGATGTAACAAACTGAAAATAGACAATGGGGGCAGCAAGCCCCTATGTGAGCTGGAGAGATTCAGAGCCCCTCCACCATGGGAGCTAAATGGTGGCTTAGACCTAGATCAGGGGTGGGGAACGTCTGGCCCGCAGGCCACATGAGGCACGAGAAATCATGTGGTCCGGCCCTGCCAAGGCAACCACAGGTGAGACTCAAAATTCAATACATCTAGGAGCTTCTTTCATAGCAACATAAATTTACATTAAGTGAATTATATTAAGCGAATGAGTTTATAAATATCCAAATGGCCCTTGGCATAAAAAAGGTTCCCCACCCCCAACCTAGATGAAGGAGCCTTACAGCTTAAAGATCTATAATAATAAAAGGGTAATATGCTAATTAGACCGGACGTTCTTCTGGACCTCATTCCGGATGTCCTTCCAGACAAAGCTGGGGCCAGAGGGAAGCCAGTGCGAGCAGCCAGGGAAACGAAAGCCTACTCTTGCACGAATTTCATGCAATGGGCCTCTACACACACATACATACATATACACACACACACACACACACACTAGAGGCCCATTGCACGAAGATTTGCACAATAGGCCTTCCTTCCCCTGGCTGCTGGCACTGGTTTTCCTCTGGCACCCAGGACCCAGGCCTTTAGTCTTGCCGCAGCAGCGAGGCTTGGCTTCTCCACTCCAGCTGCTCCCAGCTTCAGCTTCGTCAACTATAAAATGGGTTTAACAACACTAACCCCTCACGGGAAGGATGAAATGAGAACGGGCGTGGCACAGTCCCTGCTACGCAATAGGCATTCAGTATATGGTAGCCACTAGAGCGACTAAGATGTAAGCCATGCTCCAACATGGCAGATACCTTTTTCTTTTGCTCACTGCACTATTTCCTTCTCTGTCCCCTCCCCCCACAAAACTGGCGGTACCAGTATGACACAGGCAGAAAATGAAAAACTTGATCCTTATGATGACGCAAAGCAAGTCACACTGGTGTTCCTAGTGTTACAGAGGCTAAGACTCAGAAACACACCAATACCTCCAGGAGTCAGGGAGGGGCGGCCCGGCGATGAAGGAGTTAAGAGCAGATGGTCTGGTGCCAAGCTGTTTGGGTTCAAATTCGGGCTGTGCCACTTCTGTGGGATAGTTTACAAGCTATTTAATCTCTCTGGGCCCCAGTATTGTCAGTTGTAAAATGGCGATAAAAACAGTACCTACTCCATAGGGTTGGCCTGAGGATGAAATAAGTAAATACCTGTGAAGTGTTCAGAACAGTGATTGGCACAGAAATGCTAGAAGCATTAGCTGCTACTGCTGTTACTATGAGCACCATCCTCATCATGGCGCATAAAGGTCAGGGCAGAAGGACAGAGCACAGCTCTCTAAAGTTGGGTCCACTGGTGTCCCAGCAGCTTGTGGTGAGAGGGAGAAACTTAAGCTGCTGAGTGTACCTCCCTCCGCCCCACTCCCACCCCCAGAAGCTGCTCTGTAACCCAGAATGGCTGTAATCCGGGAAGGTGCTCCGTAACATAGGAAGGAGTTGTCACACAGCCCTGGATCTGTAACACTGAAAGGCAAAGCCACCAAAGCCAGGCTGAGGCCAGTGGCATCAGCTCAGTCTTCTGGGGCCTAAGGAAAAGGAAGCGTGTGACCAACGGGGCCCAGATGGTCGAGATCCATGTCCCTCCGGACCACTCACCTGAATCATAGAGGACAGAAAGGATGATCAAGAGCCCGAGCAGGGTGAACCCTCCTTTGCTTCCCATTGTCTACAGAGTCTGGAAGGAAGACACACAAAGAATCGTCATGAACCAACAGATGACTGACTACTGACTGGTTATCTCAGAAACCAGGAATTAAAGGTCTGGGGGGCTTCAGGAGACATGGGGAAGGAGCTAGCAGGCCAAGAAAACACAGGGAATCTACCAGGTGGGGTGCCACGAAGCAGAGGATGCTCTCAGATGGGGCAGCACTTGGTCCCCTCTCCTGCCCTAAGACCTCAGCTTACTAAAGAAAGGCTGTTGATCCTGGTGAGAGGGGCAGCCATGGGGAGTCACAGCACACAGGGCCCAGAGTCAGGACTGCCCGGGCCCCACCCTAGCTCTAACCTATAATAGCTTCGGACCCTTTCTCCAGGCAGTGGAAACAGCACTGCTCTCCCCATGAAGGTTGTTCAGTCAACTGAGAATGTGAGGAAAGTACTTAATACAGCAACTGCAACCCCTGCTTGCTCTCATTCCACCCAGTGCTGTTGGCTGCGCCGGAGCCTAGTGAAGGCCACTTCTCCAGGCCATGTCACTAAGGGCATCCGACCAAACGAGTGACTCTGGAGGGCACCAACATGTACCCGGGAGCAGAACAGGAGGCAACAGCTCAGCGTGCTGGAAGCTCCCGCTCCCCATTTTAGCAAGTATAATGGGAACTCCTCCTTGTTCACTCTGGGGAAGTAAAGGAGTTCCAGGTGTGAGAAATGCTCACCTGTCTGAATTCAAAGAACGGACTCAGAGACATGAAGTCTGGTGAAAATGAGACCTTTAATGCAGTCTTGCAAGATTGGGTGTCTGGTTGAGCAGGCACGCCAGAGCAGCAGCAGGGATCACAGGCAATTTATCCCTAGTGTGTGAGAGTCCTTCCCGGTTCCTCATTGGCTGAGTACTGTGGGGTTAACAGTCGCCCCACCCTCCCATAACTTGCCTATGTCTTATTGTCTCCTATTGGGAGATAATAACTAGAAAGAAGGAACCAGATTCTCCCAAAAAGCCTCCAGAAAGGAACACAGCCCCGCCAACACCTTGACTTAAACCTGGTGAGGCTCTTATTTACAAACTGTAAGAGTCATACTTGTGTGTCAAGCTGCTAAGTGTGTAGTGATCTGTTTCAGCCCCAATTTTAAACTAATACACTCACCTCAAAACTGGTACATGGTAGAACAGTATTTAAGACCAGGTGTGAGTGCTTCACCACAGTTACTCTCTAGTGGGGAGACTTCCTGTGAATTCAGCTTCCGAAATAAACTTGCTAGACGGAGACCACCAGGGAAGAGATTCACAGATGCCCAAGACTATAGTTACTGTTCCTGGGAGCCTGGGGCCTCAAAAGCTGATGCACTTTAAGACTAGATGAGTCCTCAAAGATAAAACCCAATGTTCTTACTTTATAGTTCATTAATGGAGGCCCTGGGGGATGAAGTTACCTGTCCCATGGCAACAGATTAGTTGCAAAGCCACAGTTGGGTGAATCACACTTCTATTCACCAGGGTCTGGTAACTCATAACTTATTAATATTACCTGGTGACTAGCAGTGTCAAGGGCTTGGAGGTTTGCCACATCAGTAGGGAGAGACAAAAAAAAGCCACATCAGATTACCCTAACCGGTTTGGCTCAGTGGATAGAGCATCGGCCTGGGGACTCAAGGGTCCTGGGTTCGATTCCGGTCAAGAGCATGTACCTTGGTTGGGGGCACATGCCCAGTGGGGAGTGTGCAGGAGGCAGCTGATCGATGTTTCTCTCTCTATCGCTCTCCCTTCCTCTCTGTAAAAAATCAATAAAATATATATATTTTTTAAAAAGCCACATCAGATTGAACAGCCCCTCCCACTCTGAGGTCCTACTGCCAGAGTCAACCACCCCCGACCTCCCTAAACCACACAAACCTGAAGCTTCTGTTACCAGGGCCTTCTCGGAAATGTGTTCCAGGACTTTCCTGAGGGCCTCTTATTACAGAGAGTCTACTCATGGCCCTGCTCTCTAGATTATAACTGCAGAGCCAGCTATTTAATGAAGATATTTCGTGGAGTCAACCATTTAATGAAGCTATGGGGGGCAGGCAAAAAACATCATCTTCTTTAGAAAAACTCAAGCACCTCTGGGCTTGGGTTTGTTTGTGACCGTCTGGCTGAGGTTCAGGAGCTGGCCCAGAATTTTTAATGTGATCCTTTTAAGAGGTTGTACTTGGAGCTGCTGAAGATGAATTCCAGTAGATAACCACTGTCCTCTCCTAAAATCCATTCTATTTGGGCTTTTATCTTCCAAGCCACTCAGCCTAATGGGATGTTTTCTTACAAGAAAGTTCAGCAATCTCCCGTTTCTACTTTGAAAATACAGAAGCCACAAATCTCAAGCATGTTTGGTCCACAGTAAGGCAACTCCCTATCTGCTTTGGGGGTCATACATTTCCCCACATTTTGGGGAACACTGCCACCTCCCTCTGTGTGCCCGCCCACCTAGGAGAACGGGAGTAGGCTGTCCCCAGTGGGGAACATGGGGACCTGAACTATGAACACACCCACATTTGGTCCCCACATATCAGGGGCAAACTGAGCCCTTTCCATGAATTATCTCATTTAGTCCTTGTAACACCTAATAAAATAAGCTCTATGGTTTTACTGATAAGAAAATGACAGTACGTAGTTCACTCAGGATTATCCAACCAGTAAACAGCAGGGCCCAGTGTGAGGCTGGCGTGTGCACAAGAGTTTTGAAATACATTTTAATATAATAGTAAAAGAACAACACACGGGGAAATCTAAGTCTTGCAGTTTCTTTCTTTTTTTTTTCTCTCAATAACAAATCGAAGGACAGCATAAACTTTCCTAGGTTTTCAAGGTCTTGATCAGGTGGTTAAAGCGTTGGCATAGGCCAAGGTTGAGGGTTGATTCTCATTCAGGGCACAGACAAGAATCAACCAAAGAAGGTGTAAGTGGAACAACAAATCGATGTTTCTCAAACAAGCAATTAAAATGTTTTCTTAAAGGCCTTCATCTAGCCCTAGCCCTGGCCATGGACCTTTTCGGAACCTGGGCCATGGACCTGGCCCGCAGGCCCGCCCAGCTCCCTGGCCAGGGGGCCCGGACCAGCGGAGGAGCCATTTTTTTTTTTCATTGAAAGGTTCCTACATATCAGAGAAATGGAACATGTGAGTAGGCACATTTTCCAGGGTCCTTAAAGAGCCCGCTTCTCCTTCACAGCCATTCACATCACGATTGAACATTTAACAGTCGGTTGTCAGATTCTATTTAGAGCGCAGCCCCAGCCGGCCCAGGAAGACAAAACCTCCATGGGTAACAGTGTCAACAATAAAAATAACGTTAAAAAAAAAATGCCTGGTTTTCAGCACTGCCCGGTTTATTAAAGTTCAAAATGGAGACCCTGTACGTTAAGAGCAGAATGTCGGTGACCATTTAGGGGACGGCGTTAACCTCATTTCAAGGCGCAATTTCTTTTTCCTAAACTGCAAGGGCTTCCCTTCCGTGGTCAGGGTTCGAGGAGAATATTCCCGAGGGGATGGAGGGCACGGCCCGCGGAATTTGGGGTGTTTCGGGAAGACTGCCTGCGCCCCCTTGTTCTCTGTTGTCAACAGGGAAAGCCGGGGTTCTTACAGCGTGCAACCAGGCGCCTCCGGTGGGGGAAGGGCAGGGTCTCGGGAGGACACCTGGCCCCGGGGTTTGGGGGAAAAGCTGGGGCGGTCCCCAAGGGGCG